CTTTTGGATGAAGCCTCCTTTGTCTCTAAGAATGCAGACTTTTTTTTTCTTTTTGGGTCACACCCAGCAATGTATGGGGTTACTCCTGGCTCTGCACTCAGGAATTACTCCTGGCAGTGCTCGGGGGACCATATGGGATGCTGGGAATCAAACCCAGGTAGGCCGTGTGCAGGGCAAATGCCCTACCTGCTGTGCTATCGCTCCAGCCCCTAAGAATGCAGATTTTTGCTAATCTGCTTTGCAGCCTTTCTAAAGATATATTTTTTCTCCTCTGAAAGAAGGATGGGCTTGGCCATGTCCACCACCTGGTGTGATTAAAAAATACAGAGAATGGGGGCTGGAGTGATAGTACAGCGGGTAGGGCATTTGCTTTGTGTGTAACTAATTCTCCCTGGCATCCATATGGTCCCCTGTGCACTGCCAGGAGTAATTCCTGAGTGTAGAGCCAGGATTAACCCCTGAGCATTATTGGGTAGGGCTCCCAAATCCCCAAAGCAAAACAAAACCCAAATATATATATATATATATTAAGAATATAGTTTCACATGTATATTAAAATATATAAAATTTTAAAAAGTTATAAAAAGGAATGCCTCCTTCTGATTTAATTTCATCCCATGTTGCCCTCCCTGCCCCTAAGCTCTAGTTCCAGCTGAACTTGTGGAGCCCATCACAGGTCTATGTGCCCTCTGGGGGTCCAACGTTGGATCCCATATTCTACTGGGAAGGCTTCTCTCAGGTCCTCCCTGGTTGACTTTATGAGTAGGTCTCAGTCGTGTAGTTTTTGGTCATGTAGAGGCTTGAGTATATTGTGAAGATCCTCCTCTAATCACTTTGTTTCTGGGTTGCCATGGGCTGGTTGAGAGTCGTCACGATTTGCTCGGTTTGGAGGTGGACTTCTATATTTAGTACAGATAACCGCCCTGTGACAAGAATGGTCAGCTGCTTAAAGGTGGTTCAAGTCAGCCTCTTTGTCAGCTAGGGGCCGCACTGGGGTTAGAAGCCACATTTCTTTTGCTGTTCAAAGTCTCTTTCCATTTAATTGCTGTCCACCTCCTGACTTTGTTTGCTTTATGTCTTAGCAGGGAGAAGCCTGTTTGCCTGACTACTCCAAACTTAATTCTCTTGTCCTTCAAATAGTTCTTTAAAAATTCATTTCTTTCCCAGATCTGCTGCACATTGTTTTGCCTTGTCAGGGCTGTCCTTTCTGTGTCCTCTTTGCATTGTTTCTTCAGCTTCATATTTGTCTGCTCAAATTAGGCGGTGAGCTTCTGTTTGTGTAGAGGTGAGTGACTGTGTGTTTGTACAAGCCTGTGCAGCCCATAAATAGTAATGAATGTGTGCCTGTGGGAAGAGCTCATTCTCTAGCTCATTGTTTAGCGTGGAAAGCAGAGTGGTTTCCTCGCCTTTCCTTTATGGCAGTGACATGGCTCTCTGGACACATGAAGATGAGGGGAAAAGCACTGGGAAGAGTGTGCTGGGTTCACCTTTGGGTTCAGCAGAAAACTGGCGACACCCGTTTTCAGGTGGGGTCTCTCTCCTAATGGTCGCTTCCTTTGTGGGGGGAGTAGAGGCCCTCATCCCTTGAAGGCCTAGGTTCTAAAGTTGGAGATGTGGGTGCTTCTAAAGATACAGATCCTCGTACTAATCTCGGCTATTCTTGGGTGTTAGTTTCCTATTTTGTTACTTTATGTTCCCCAGGTGAATGCAATCTTTCTATGTCTGTCCCCCTCTTTCTGACTCATTTCGCTTAGCATGATACTTTCCATGTAGTACCACTTGTATGTAAATTTCATGACTTCATCTTTTCTAACAGCTACGTAGTACTCCATTGTGTAGATGTACCAAAGTTTCTTTAACTTTGGTTTAAGTGTTCTTGGGCACTCAGGTTTTTTCCAGATTCTGGCTATTGTAAAGAGTGCTGCAATGAACAAAAAAGTGCAGATGGCTTGGAGGCCAGCCACACATGCTAGGGGAAAAGGCAGCTCAGATAGAGAAGGGAACACCAAATAAAGGGTGTTGGGAGGATCCTCCCAGGATGGGAGAAGCATGCTGAAAGTAGACTATAGACTGAACATGATTGCCACTCAATGCCTCTTTTGCAAACCACAACACCCAAAAGGAGAGAGAGAACAAAAGGGAACACCCTGCCATGAGGCAGGGTGGGATGGGGGAAATGGGGGGTGGGAGGGACACTGGGATCTGTGGTGGTGGAAAGTGGGCACTGGTGGAGGGATGGGTATTTGATCATTGTATAATTGAAACCCAAGCACAACAATTTGTAAGTCTACAACTGTACCTCACGGTGTTTCACCAATAAAAATTAAAAACAAAAAAGGTACAGATTCTCCAGGAAGCATATTCTCTGTACAGTGGGGTCCAGGGTTCCTGGCCTAGCCCTGCCTCAGGAGCAGGAGCACCTCATCTATCCAACTCCAGGAGTACCTCGTCAATCCCACTTCAGTGATGGTATGATAACTAGGTGCGGGGGAGGGGGCAGGGAAGGGGAGGAATGTTACAAACACTTTCTATGCAGTTTTATTTCATTCTCTTTATTTAATACCCCACTTTGAAGTGGATCCTCTTATGATATCCATTTTACAAATAAACTGAGACCTGGTGAAGTCATATTAAAAAATCACATAGGTAGGAATTGGCAGGGCCAAGAGTTGACCTTGGGTCTTTCTGACTCAAAACTCACAATATTACATTGTTCTAGCCAATGCTTTTTATTCATAGCATCAGTTTCCTCCTTGGGAAAACAAGTGCATGGACCTGCATTGTGGATTCAGACATGAGCACTTTATTTATTTAATTTTAAAATGTATTGAATCATGAATTTCCAAGTCAAAAAGTTACTCATGATTGAGTTTTATTAATAAGTAAGATGTTGTAACATTAATCCTTTCATCATTGTTCCCTTCCTTCCACCAATGTGTCTAGTTTCTCTCCCGCCAGCCCCCACCTCACTATCTCTATGGCAGTCACTTTTCCCTTTTTCTTTTTTCCTTTAAGGTACTGTGGTTTTCAATACTGTTACTAAAAGCATATCATGCACGTAACTTTCCCTCCTTTTAGTGCCCAGTTCTCCTTCAACTGACCATTTTCCCCCATCATTGCCCTAATGGTCCCTTCCTTATAGCCTCCTTCTGCACTGTGGTAAGCTTCCTACAAAGGACCACTTCTCCTGCTCATTGTTTCTATTGTCTTTGTGCATTATTCTCCTACAACATTTCTTTATATACCTCCAATGTGTGTGTTCATTTGTGTGATCATTCTGTGTCTCCCTCTGAGTCATTTCACTCAGCATGTTCCTTTCCAGATCCATCCATATATGACTTCATCTTTTCTAATAACTGTACTATTTTGTTGTATATATGTATCATAGCTTCTTTCTTAATCCAGTCATCTATTCTTTGACCCTTGGGTTGTTTCCAGATTTTGGCTATTGTGAATAGTGCTGCAGTGAACATTGGGGTGCAGATATCTTTTCTGAATTGTGTATTTGGGCCCTTGGGGGTACATTCCCAGGAGTGGAATTGCTAAGTCTTGTGGAAGCTCAATTCCTAGTTTTTTGAGGTATGCATTAAAAAAAAGACTAAACCAGTTGACATTCCCACCCCTTCCCCCCTGCATCCAAACTATCACTGGCTCTGTTATTTTTCTTTGTGATATGTACCAGTCTCACCAGTGTTAAGATGATCACGCTCACAATCATCCTGTTGTTCGTCGATTGCCTCGAGCAGGCACCAGTAACATCTCCTTCGTCCTAGCCCTGAGAAATGGTCTTTCAGGGTTAGGAGAATGAGACCCATCACTGTTACTGGTATTTGGCATATTGAGTATGCCATGGGGAGTTTGCCAGACTCTGCCGTGTTGGCAGAATACATTTGGTAGCCTGCAGGGTTGTCCAAAGTAAGAACGAGATAATAAGATGTCGTGCGGCCGTGCGCTTCTGGGAGCTGGGTTTTATAGTCTCTGGTCTTGGCCGTTGATGGGATTACCTGGTGCCGGGGCGGTTGGTGGGTATGACTCCTGCCTACTGGAAGATGGGGGATCTGGGTGGCGGATGCTCAGCCCCGATCTGAGCAGGCTTGGAGATTTCAGCCCCGGGACCCGCATGCCTGGGTTCCTCTGCCGGTTCCTTCATGTATGAGGCTTGTCCGGATGTGTGGAGAGTGGTCTCAGCATGGCTTTGGCTGGTTCTGGAAGTGTTTTGCTCTGGGGCTCTGCTCGGGGCGGGGAGGGAAACTCAATCCGTCCCCTCCAAGAGTCACCAGTGAGGACAGCCAGGCGCGGGGACAGGAGACTCTGTGCTGTACTCTTCCAGGAACTGGGTTTTATAGTCTCTGGTCTTGGCTATTGATGGGATTGGTACCTTGTTGTTTTGATTTGCTTTTCCCTGATGATTAGTGATATAGGGCATTTTCCCATATGCCTTTTGGTCATTTGTATTCCTTTTTTTTTTTCTTTTTGGGTCATACCCAGTGGTGCTCAGGGATTACTCCTGGCTCTGCACTCAGGAATTACTCGTGGTGGTGCTTGGGAGACCATATGGGATGCTGGGAATCGAACCTGGGTCTGCTGCATGCAAGGCAAATGCTATGCACTCACTATGCTCTCACTAAAGCCCCTTGTATTTCTTTTTTGAGGAAGCTTCTGTTCGTATCTTCTCCCCATTTTTTGATGGGGTTGGATTTTTTTTTTTTGTAAAGTTCTCCCAGTGCTTTATGTATCTTAGATATTAACCTGTTATCGGATGAGTGGTGGGCAAATGATTTCTCCAGATGTAAGATATAGCGCCTCATCTTGGGAAGAGGGCATGAGGGGGCTTTTGGGGTGGCTCTTCCTGGTCAGGACACTGTGACTGTACTGTTCTTGCTGTGCCCTGAGATGGAGCACAGCCCTGCCCACAGGTCTACTTCTGTGTCAGAAGCTGCTCTTCCTGCTCTGTTGACTTTTGCCATCCTCATCTCATTCTCTTGTTCTTTCTTTTAAAGGAAAGTTCCTGGAGGAGTCTTGTTTACACAGGGTCCAGAGCCCTCCTTGAGTCTTGTCTGAGTTGAGCAGAAGAGCACTTGCAAGCCCGCAGGGTCTCTTCCCACTTGCACCCCCAGCAGCAGCTCTGGGCTGTTGTGAGTGGGCTGCTGAGAGCATTCAGCCTCTATTCAAGGAGAGGTATGTAGCCTATCAATTTTTCTAGAAACATGGGTACCTTAAGTGCCTTATTTTCTCTTCCATCCCAAAGCCCAACAGTACTTATGGAGAGTTAGAGGTGGTCCTTTTTCTGGACGGAGAGTGATGCTAAGTTTGGAGAGGGTTGTGGATGAAAGGGGCAGGCCTGCCCATGGCTGCGAGTCAAGGCTGATGCGGGGTTTGCTGTGCGGGGTGTGCCGGGGCAGGTGATCAGGTGAACCCAGGGTTAGTGGGTGAGGTGTGCTTGGGGGAGGGATTGGTGTGCCAATCTGGGTCTCCATGGGATACCATGGTATTCTCTCTCTCTTGGGCTACCACGGCTGTTGCTGGGTCTGGCCTGTGATGACGGACCATCCTGGCAGAGCCAGTTTCTCTGCAGTTTTAGCACAAAGCCCAGGGAAAAGTGGTTGTTCTTCCTTGCTCTTTACTGGCCATTTTTGGAATCAGGTCCCAGACAAGGTGATGTGGCTGTAGGCCAGGCCTGAAGAAGGCAGAGGACCCCTGTACCTCTTCCTGTGCACTGCAGAGTTCGCAGTTGTTCTCTGGGTGCCCCTCAGACCCTGGGAAACTGACCCCTTCTCTCCAGTCTCATTTTCCCTTGGCCTTGCCCCAGTTCATCACTCACCCTACTGCTCACCCTGTTCCCTGTTCTTTCTCTCCCTCTGAATATATGGAGATAATAAACTGAGGCATTGAATCCACTGGGGAAGATAAAGAATCTTGTTTGTAAATTGATCTCTCATCCTTAGTATTGGAGGACGTTAGTGTGTCTGCAGATAGAGGGGCTGTGAGCCCTGGGGGAGATATCCTTGCTGTCCCCCCACCCCCACCCCACTCCCTTCCTATGTCAGGAGGTGGGGAGGCTGCTATTTGCGCCTCGCTGAGCTGCCTCTCAGCTCCTCCTGGGCCACCGCCTCCTGCTTACGTGCCCTTTTTTGCCCTTGACATCTTCATTTTCCTTTTTCTCTTCCTCCTTGTCTTTCCCCAGCATCATGCTGTGTTTATCCCTGACCAGAAGCAGAGAGCATCAGACTGGTGTATATGTGTCATGTTCACACAAACCCTTTTATGGGAGGGATGTGTTCAGTCTGGGAGATCTTTGTTATCTGTTGCAGTCTGTTGTCCTGATATTGTTGTGAGCCCTCCCGCCCTCCACCTCAGTCCCCCTTTTGTCATTCCTCCCCTCCTACCTCCCTTTCCCACCCCCAGCCAAGGCTTCATTGTGAAGAAAGGTGCTGGGCATTATTGGAAGTTGCAGGGTCATGTTCCCCGAGTTCCCAGCTCCCTAAGCCTTTCCAGCCTTTGCACTCCTAGTTGGCAGCTTCTGCCCACTGTTCATCCTTATCCAGTCTGACCCCTCTTGCACTCACACCTAGGCCTGGCCAGGCACCTGGCCAGAACCTCACGCTGTGCTGTGCATTCATGCCCTGTTTTGCTGTGTGATTGGTGCCCTAAGGAACCAGGTTGCTGGGGGAAGCTCATGTGGCACTCAGCCATCCCATTTTGTCGACAAAAAAAGAGGGGAGAAACTGGCAGAAGGCAAAGGCTTTTGCTGCTGGGTGAGTGCAGCAGCTATTTTTAGCGCCGGCGCCTTTGCTTTCCATTTGGCTGTGCTTTTTTAGCACAGTTTTGTCCAGCAGGGCTGTTTCCTTCGTGGCTCCAGATGTCGTGAGGGAAAGTTTCCATTTTCCCCTGAGAAGGTTGGGCTTGGCAAAGAGGTGGTAACTTTGGAGAGTGGGTTCAGGTATGACTTTGGGTCTCAATTTCTTGAGAGGATTGAGGTAGGAATAGGAAAGAGAAGAAGTGAATACCATACTCTTCAGAGATGTCCCTGCACAGTTTATTCAGTGAAGTTTCTGTTGAGTAAACTGCCTTCTGAGATGAATTGGGGCTGTGTGATCAACACATAAATCTTTTATAAGGGTCTGGGATGTGGATGCATTCTGGGTTTATGGTTTTGGGGCCACATGTGATGATGCTCTGAGATTATTCCTGGCTCTGTGCTCAGGGATCCCTTGTCGCAGGGCTTGGGGACCATATGGGATGCTGGGGATCAAACCCAGGTCAGCTGTGTGCAAAGCAAGCACCTTACCTGCTATGCTATCTCTCTAGTGCCCATGGTTTTTTTTTTTAAGGTTTTGGGTCATACCTGGTGATGTTCAGGGGTTACTGCTGGTTTTGCACTCAGGAGTTCTTCTGGCGGTGCTCAGGGGACCATATGGAGTGCTGAACCTGAGCTGGGCAAGTGCATGGCAAGATCCTTACCTGCTGTGCTATCTCTAATGCCCCTCCCATGTTTTATTTTGAGTTATTGTGGGGGGAGCTTGCTAAATTTTATTTTTATGTCTTTCCCTTTTCCCTTGGGCTGGAGCGATAGCACAGGGGCTGGAACGATAGCACAGCAGGTAGGGCGTTTGCCTTGCACGCAGCCGGCCCAGGTTTGATTCCTCCGTCCCTCTTGGAGATCCCGGCAAGCCACTGAGAGTATTCTGCCCACACAGCAGAGCCTGGCAAGCTACCCTTGGCATATTCGATATGCCAAAAACAGTAACAAGTCTCAAAATGGAGATGTTACTTGTGCCCGCTTGAGCAAATTGATAAAAAACAGGAGGACAGTGCTACAGTGCAGTGCTCCCTTTTCCCTAGATCATTGATCAGATATTTGGGCTGTGTCCTCTTGACTTCCATTCTAGTTTTCTGACCAAAATTTTTTCACCATGCCACACAGAAATTCCCTTTGTTTTTGGGCTACACTTGGCGATGTTCAGGGTTTACTCCTGTCTCTGCACTCAGGGATTACCCCTGGCAGTGCTTAGGGGACCATATGGGATGCCAGGGATTGAACCTGGGTCAGCCACATGCAAGGCAAACACCTTAACCACTGTACTTCATTCCAGAAATTCTCTACCAATTAAACAATATTATTTTCATTTGCCCCTCAGACTTAGGCAACTTTTAGTAGATTTTTGTCTCTCTAGAGTGGCTTGTTCTAGATAGTTAATTTAAGTCAAATCATATAATATTTGTCCTTTTGTGTACAGCTTATTTCACATAGCATAATGTTTTCAAGGTTCATGTTGAAGCATATATCAAAATGTTATTCTTTTTATGACTGAATAACATTCTATTGCTTGTGCAAACTACATTTAGAAAGTACAATCATTTGTTGATGCAAATGATGGGTGTTGTTTTCACCTTTTGGGTATTATGAATAGCTCTTTTATGAACATTTTCATGGAAGTATCTGAGTGACCATATTCACCAGATAATTTAGATGGGCTATATATCTGGGAGAGGAATCACTAAGTTATATGTTAATCAGGTTAGCTTTTTGGAGAACCACTAAACTGTGTGCAATAGCAGCTGCATCATTAGATATTCCCATCAGTAATGTAGAAAGTCTCATTTCTCCACCTTGTCAACATTTTCTATTTTCTGTTATTTCTTTCATCATTGTAGCCATCCTAGAGGATATAAAGTGGTATCTCATTGTGGTTTTGATTTACTTTTTCTTGATTAATGATATCAGATTCTTTTCATGTTCTTAATGCACTTGTCTAGCTTCTTTGGAGAAATGTGTATTTAAGTTCTGTGAATGCCCATTTAAAAATTGTGTTGGATGCCTTTTTGTTATTGATCTGTATTTATTCTGGATACTCATCTTTTGATAGATAAGAGATTTGCAAATTTTTTTTCATTCTGTGGGGTTTTCATCTCCTGATAATGTTCTTTGAGGCATAGAGTCTTTCATTTTTGATGGAATTTATCTTTTTCTTTTATCTGTGCTTTTGGTGTCATATTTAAGAAACTATTGCCAAATACAAAATCATGAAGATTTCCCCTGTGTTTTCTTCTAATCATCTTAGTTCTTAAATTGAAGTGTTTGATCTATTTTGAGTTAATTTTGGTGTGTGGTATAAGTGAAGGGCCCACTTTATTTTTCTGCAGTATAAGGATCCAGTTATCCTGCACCGCTTATTGAAGAAATTGTCCTCCCTGCAAAGTTCTTGACACCAGGTTGAAAATTACTTGACCTTTTATGTGATTATTTGTGGAGACTTAAATTATATTTTTTGTCACCAGTATTTTCTTTTTTTTGGGGGGGGGTCACACCCAGCTATGCTCAGGGTTTTACTCCTGGCTCTGCACTCAGGAATCATTCCTGGTGGTGCTTAGGGGACCATATGGGACACTGGGGATCAAACCTGGGTTGGCCACGTGCAAGGCAAATGCCCTACCCATGTACTCTCACTCTGGCCCCCTGTCACCAGTTTTTATGTCTGTTTTTATGCCAAATACTTCACAGTTTGGATTATTAGTAGCTCTGTAGCACTGTCCTCCCATTGTTCATCGATTTGCTCGTCTCCATCGTGAGACTTGTTATTGTTTTTGGCATATTGAATACACCATGGATAGCTTGCCAGGCTCTGCTGTGTGGGTGGGATACTCTCGGTAGCTTGCCAGGCTCTCCAAGAAGGACGGAGGAATTGAACCAGGGTTGGCTGCATGCAAGGCAAACGCCCTACCCACTATGCTATTGGATTATTAGTAAATAACTGAAATTAGGAAATAAGAGTACATTAATATTGTTCTTCTCAAGATTATTTTGGATGTTTTGGCCCCATTGACATTTCATATGTATCTTTGTTTGGGTTTTCCACCTATATAAACATTAAAAGTCTTTTTTAAAAAACAAATATCACAAATAAATAGGAATCTGCATATGACTTTGATAGTATTGTATCTTATATTAAATTACCAGACCATGAATATGGAATAGCCTTCCATTATATATCACTTAATATTTTGGGTATCCTTTAATTTTAACAGCTGTGGATCTGCACTTTGTTTGAAATGTGATATAAAAGATCTCATGACTTGGTAAGCTTGAATTTTGCTGGCTTGGGAGTTGCTGTCAGCATCTCTCTTTAGGTATAACAGTGTATATGGTTTAGAAATTAATGTGTATAAGAATGCATAAAATATGAGCCAATCTTTGTTCATACACAAATCAATTTGTTTTCTTCTGCCCTTCTGAGAGCCAGTACCACCACACACAGCCCAATGACAAGTTTATAAAGAGAAGGGACGGACCAGAACTATGATAGCTCATGCAAGAGTCCTGATTGGGCCAAGTGATTTTTTAAAAAAAATTATTTTAATGATTCATCGTGAGCTACAATTACAGACTTACAGACTTTCATGATTGCGTTTCAGTCGAAAATGTTTAAGTACCCATCCCTCCACCAGTACCCATTCCCCACGGGCCAAGTGATTTTACTTTTGTGGTGTATAGAGAACAAAGCAGATGAGCTAAATATAGCATTAGTGAATGTTTGGACTTGAGATCAATTAATGGTTACCAGAAGAGAAGGAGGGAGACGAGGGGACTAGGTATAGAGGGTATAACTGAGGATAAAGGGAATGTGTGTCTTTACTTTCAGTCATATATGTTTGAAAGCTATGTAATGTAATGCAGTGATACTTCAGTTTTTGAAAGACGGTGGGGAAAAGTAATATTTGATTATATAATTTCAGTACAGGCATATACTTCTCTTGGTTGGCTTGACCATTTCTGGGAGATGCAGTTTGTCTAACACTGTAACATTCATTGAACAAGTAGCATCATGAAAATTGTGATGCTGAACTGCAGGCACCAGATTTTTGCTAACCTCTGTTTTCTGTTTCTGTTCCTCAGGCCTCTAACCATGCCTTCCTGGGGCCTTCCCCCATCTAGGATGGCTCCTCTGGGTCTGCTGCTGGGTTTGCTCATGGCCTCCTGCTTTACCTTCTGCCTCGGTCATCAGAACGTGGTAAGTATCTTATCTCAAGTAGAGGGATCCTGTCAGCAGGGCTGCTGTGGGAATGGGTGACCTTTTCTTTCTCTTGGTTCACAGAGTATGTTTCCTTTCTCCCATGCCCACACCCCTTCCAAAATTTCACTGGCTTCTGTGTATAGATCATGGCACAGTTTATTTTTGAGGAAAATATGATGATGATAAACTTACAATATATATGCCATTTAGTGCTGTGTGTATGTGTGTGTGTGTGTACATGTACATGTGCATGTGCAATTGTGTGCACGTGTGTATTCTTCCTTAGTGCCCTCAACAGCCCTATGAAATAAACATATATAATCGTTATTCTCATTTGGAGAAGGAGGCAGGTAGGTTCAATGACAAAGTGACATTAAATAACTTGGCCAAAACCATATATCCAGTTTGTGGCAGACCTGGGAAGGTCGGGATTCAGCTCAGGAGCTAGGTGCTATGTAGTGAGTGAGCATCAGTTTCAAGTAAGACCTCTCTTTTAACTACTCCCCTCTTTCTGTGCTTTCTCAGTCAATCTGGATTTACTTTTCCTCTGTTTTTTCCTCCTTCTCTCCTTCTGGGCCTCTCTTTAACTTAGACTTCATTGCTCAGAGTTTCTGCCTTGACCACAGGTAGGAAGAAGGCCTGAGAAGGTCCTGAGGTTGGCCTGCCTGACCTATGCCCAGGCTCCTGCCCCAGTTCCCTGGCTTGCCTTGGGAACTGCCTGCCCTTCATCAGCTCCCAGTGCCCTCTCTTTCTGCTCTCTCAGGAAGCTCGGTCATCTTTCCAACAGTATAGTTTTAGCCTCCACAGGCCCCCTTCCCCAACCCCAGGAGCTCCCAGTAAATGTTGGATAGAGTGCTGGAGGCTTTGGAGCAGGAGGCCCTTGAAGTGCAAATGATAATTGTGGTGAATTTAATAACAATCTGGCTCAGCTGAGGTTCACCTCTGGCTCATGGCAAACTTCCACCTTTTCTCTGAAGTCATTCATTTTCTGACTACTTTTCTCCCTACTTCACGGAACAGGAGAGAATATTAGTTAGGAGTCACGAATCCTTTTTAGCTTTTAATTTTCTCTGACTAAGATCTTGTTGGTGGCCTTTTTTTGCCTCTTCTTCAAGGACAGTGAGAATAGATGAGATCCTGGTGACCCTACGAGGAGGTCTGGCCACAGCATGAAGTTGGAGCTGTCTCTGGTAATATGGCCCAGAAAACTACCCACATGTCTCGGTATCAGGACATCCCATGATATTCCTCCTATCCCTGTTTTCTTCCCAGCCCCCCAATCTGCAACTCATGATGCTCTAGATGGCCCTCATCAGGAGCTTTAACAGATGCATAATTAACAAAAACGTGCTGATGAATTTACTTAAGGACTGCATATCAGTAAGTCCCTTTTGGATAATAGTCCAACCAAATATATGAGCTTTCAGAGCCATAATTATTCTGGCCCATTTATATTAGTTCTATTGAGTCTAGTCTCAGAAAAATGTTAATACTGACTTTCAGCAACAGAAACTGCTTTTATCCTTATGTCTGTTCCTAAGCTGTATTCATTTGTCATAATCTTTCATCATGTGCTAAGCACAAGTAGGAGTTGAAGCATCTTTTCTCTTATACCATAAAAATTGCTGCCCTGATGACATTTAAAATCCAAATCATGCATCCAGCCACCTTCACAACAGTGCTGAGGGGCAATGGGGGAGGGGCCATAATTATACTCCTCTCCTCAGAGCCTGCTAGGGTCCAGGCAAGTGTTCTGGACAACCTGGAATTTGTCCCCCCCAAGGTCATTTGTGCATGTCAGTAGCCACCCAAGAAGGGCTGGCTCTGCATATTAGGGGATGATCAGTAACCAGCTTCCTGCCTGACTGCTGCTGCTGCACCTCTCTGGGAAGCCACATCTTAGGGGCAGTGTGGTTGAGGAGTCTGCTGGCCTTTAAAAAGGGGATGAGCTATGGGAAAGTGGTGGAGCACAGACCTGTGGCAGTTACCCTTTAACCATCAACCATGAGTTGGGAAACTTGTCCATTTCTGAATGTTGTTTCCTCCTTTGTATAACATTTTGTTGCCCCCCCCCCCACCTTGGTTGAATGTGATTTGGTGTAAATAGTGGTGTAAAAAGTGGGTGTTGGGAGTGACATGGTATAGTCAGTGATGGTCAATAAATATCGGCCGTTATTTTTATTCAGAGAGTGGCTGCTTCTGCGATTTAATTTCAGGCCTTGTGAGGGAGGCTTCTATCCCAAAATGTTTGTCTCTGTCACAGTGTCTGTCAGCCTACCATTAGAAATTCATTCATTCTCTTGGATCTTATAGGCTTTGGTCTTTAAGATTCTCTTATTTAGATATAAGCTTTAGGAAGTGTGACTTGGTAAGCTGTTGTCAGCTAACACTTTAGGTGGGATTTCTTGCCAGTGATTTGAGAAGAGATTGGTATTTGGGGTGGTGGTGGCAGGGAGGGGAGACTACAGAGTACAGTTTGAAGGGAGCCTTGAGAAGCCAGCTGAGAGGACTCCAGAGCATAAGGTCTCCTTTCGGAGCTGACCAAGGGTCACTGGCCTCTCATGCCTCTTGGTCTTTCTCTCCTGTACGGAAGGAAAGAGGAAAGTTTCTTGTTCTTTCTGTGGGACTGTGGTTTTTCATCTGGCCCACACATGCCTTCTCTGGGAAGGGGTGTATGCTGGCAGATAAGCTGGGGGTGGTCTTATTATTGCTCCCATTTCACTCTCTTAGTATTGAGAACATGAATGGTAGGAACAGAAATATAGACATGAGTCAGAATCTGCCATGGTCTTTTTAACAAGGCAGACCTGGACTTAGGTCTCTGCTCTACTGTTGTCAACAGTGTGATTTAACCATATCCTACTGCTCTGCTCATCTGTAGAGTGGGAATAAAAGTATATGCTCAGAGAGGGAACCTGAATGAATTTTGAGGTCTGGAGGGCCTTTAGCCCAGTGCTGAACATATGGTTAGGACTTGATAAACTATTGCCATTACAACCTCATCTCTGTGATGCTAGACTTCTTCCAGATCTTTTTTGGAAATCCCCCCCCCCCCACTTTTTTAATGTAGGAGTACTGTTATTCCTTCAGCCACTGATCAGCTGATTGAATTGGGCATGAACTCCACCTTACTTTTTTCCCCCCACTTTTTATAATTTTATTTTTTGAATCACCGTGAGAGCAGTTACAAAGCTTTCGGGTTTAAGTCTTGGTCATACAATGAAGCACCCGTCCCTTCACCAGTACCCATTCTCCACCACCAAAACCCCCAGTATATCCCCATCCCACACCCTACCCCTACCTATGGGACAGATGATTTTCACATTACTCTCTCTCTCTCTACTTTGATCATATTCAATATTTTGACACCAGACCCACTATTATTATTTGGGATTTTACCCCAAAACTTAGATCTCCTGAAAAGGCAACAGTAGACAATTTGTTTTCTATTGCTGGTTATGAATAACACATGATGTTGTGTGGCTGCAGTAGTGGCCGTGTGATTTTGAAATTCGGAAATTTTAACAATTTAATCTGGAGGGATTTCTGCCAAAACCTGCTGGGTTCCGAGATTTGTTCCTGAGTCTCTTGGATCATGGCTGTTAAGCAGCTTGATCAGGAGCCAGAAAGGCCGTTCATGGGTGGCGACTCGGGGTCTTGTTGGGGTGGGGAGGAAAGGGCCAGCTCCACCCCCATCCCGCCAGGCCCTGCCTGTCTCATCACTGAGGGCCCAAACCTGACTGTCCATGGCCTCTGGAGGATGGTGGCCACCGAGCCGCCTAGGGGGAGCAGGTGGAGGGACAGCACCCTTTCCCCCCTGGGGTGGCCCGGCGACAGTAACCTAGTGCGGGATCCGGACGCATTTCTGCCAAAAGCCACTGGGTATCAAGATTTATTTCTGAGTCTCTGGGATCATGGCTGTTAAGCAGCTTGATCAGGAGACATAGAATCCGTTTGTGGGCGACGCCTCAGGGTCTTGTTGGGGTGATAGGAAAGGGCTGGCTCCACCCCATCCCGTGAGGCCCCACAGTGTCTTGTCGCTGCAGGCCCAAACCTGACTGTCCAGTGGCCTCTAGAGGATGGAGACCACTGGGCCGCCAGGGGGAACAGGCCAAGGCACGAAACCTATTCCCACCTGGGTTGGCCCAGCGGCAGTAACCTACTGTAGGGACAGGACTCATTTCTGCCAAAAGCTGCTGGGTTCTGTGATTTGTTTCTGAGTCTCTGGGATTATGGCCATTAAACGGCTTGATTAGGAGCCAGAGAGGCCATTCATTGGCAGCAACTCGGGGTCTCTTTGGGATGGGGTGGTAAGGGCCGGCTCCACTCCCATCCTGTGAGGCCCCACGTGTCTTGTCACTGAGGGCCCAATCCTGACTGTCCATGGCCTCTGGAGGATGGCGGCCACTGAACCGCCTACGGGGAGCAGGCGGAGGGACAACACCCTTTCCCCCCTGGGGTGGCCCGGCGACAGTAACCTAGTGCGGGATCCGGATGCATTTCTGCCAAAAGCTGTTGGGAATCAAGATTTGTTTTTGAGTCTCTGGGATCATGGCTGTTAAGTAGCTTGATCAGGAGCCAGAGAGACTGTTTGTGGGCGACGCCTCGGGGTCTTGTTGGGGTGGGGAGGAAAGGGCCAGCTCCACCCCCATCCCATGAGGCCCCGTGTGTCTTGTCGCTGCAGGCCCAAATCTGACTGTCCAGTGGCCTTTGGAGGATGGCGGCCAGTGGACCACCAGGGGGAACAGGCCAAGGCACGAAACCTATTCCCACCTGGGGTGGCCCAGCGCTGATAACCTATTGTAGGTACTGGACACATTTCTGCCAAAAGCTGTTGGATTTCAAGATTTGTTTCTGAGTCTCTGGGATTATGGCCATTCAGCAGTTCGATCAGGAACCAGAGAGGCCATGCTCCTGGTTTGATCTCTGGCACTACATAGTCCCTAAGTATTGAATCAGGAGTGCCCCTAAGAGCTGCCAGATGTGAAGATAACCCC